GTCAGTGCAGCTAAGAGAAGGGCACAGTGTTCTGGGGGCATTGGGTACATGGTAGGGACTGTCAGGAGGAAGTGGACCTTGCAGAGCACACATCAGGTACCCAGGGGCTGCCGGGCTAGAAAGGCAGGATAGGAGGAAGTCTCCTTCTAGGTGAGTATTGAGTATTGTTCTGTGACATTCCCACTCCAGGCTGACGCAGCTTGGAGACATCTGACCTGCAGTTGTAGAGCACAGATTTGATATTTTACAACAAGCACAACAGTCCTCACCCAGGATCAAACCCATTTTACTGTGAGGGAAACAAAGGCACAGGATCATATGGCTTTGTATCTTTTTAAAAAGCTGGGTGAGAACTACCCCTTAATGCTGGGCTGCTGCTCCATCTGCCACTTGCCTGTAAATTTTCTGCTCACCTTTGTCTAACATGCAGAAAGACCGTCAAAAGAGTTACAGGCTTCAGCCCAAGGGTGTTAATAGTTACTATCTTCTTTCTGGGCTTTTATCAGGAACTGCTGTTCTCACAAATCAAACTGTGAGAACATTTGCCAGAGATTTCCCAAGAGCAGACTTAACTCTTCCTGTTATATCAGAATTAGCCTCTTTTGTTGTCTTTATGCTTCTTGGGGTCTGGGGGGGCCACTATGAAGCCGGGTCCATTCTGTCCCTAGAAGCAGGTGCTCTGCTCTTTTGATTCGATGCCTGCTTCTCCAGTGGGTCCTGGCTGGGTTGGAATGTTTCTGTGGCAGTTTGCCAACAGCAAGAAGACTAAGCGTGCCCTGAGAATTTCCAGTTGTAGGGCTCTGAACCAAGTCCAGGGAGACTTCTACCAAGGAGAACATTTTGATTATTTCTTTTGATCTAAGTTTCTTCCTCCCCATGTCCATAGATCTAATCTGGGAATTACTTTTGATCTTGAAAGGTTTTTGCTTTTTGGACTTATTTAGACCAGGTCTACCTTGTTTATAATGAGTAGGACAACATTTTATTGTAAGTAAGTGTTCATCTATACCCTATACCTTAGGCACGGGACTAAGAAGGGGTTAATGAGAAAAGGATGAAAAGAACCAGGTAGGGTCTCCAGGAAGATAATCCCATGATACATTGCCAAGTATTGAAAAGACAGAGACTAATACTGAGCAGAATAGTGAAGAATAAAGAGCTCTATATTGGCCAGTGTGACCTTTTACAAGGCTTTTAGTCTCTCTTGGCCTCAGTTGCATGGTCTGTAAAGTGACACTAATAATAACTAACTTAGGGGCGCCTGGGTGGCTCAGTCGGTTAAGCATCCAACCCTTGATTTCGGCTCAGGTCACGATCTCATGGTTTGTGGGAGCGAAACCCCTCATCTGGCTCCATGCTCAGCATGGAGATTCTCTTAAGATTTAGATTCTCTCCCTCCCCCTCTCTCAGCCCCTCCTCTGCTGGCACGTGCACTCATGAGCTCTCTGTCTCAAAAAACCCCAAAGAACAAAAAACAAAAAAACTAACCCAAGTAAAGGTAAGAGGTTCAACCTGATAAAAATCTGGAATGACTTTCCTTTTCCTTAAATACTTAATACTGACAATGCATCTCATTCATTCAATGATTTACTATTGCTTTATACTCTCATTCATTCATCCATTCCTTCACTCAACAAATACTCACTGAGCACATAGTGTATGAAATTAATGATGCATGATACTATGGGACATAAAAGTGTCTGCCCTCAGGAATTTCCATTTTAATTGTAGAGAGAAGACATACATGGGAAACTATAGTACACCAGGATGCTAAATGCCATCAGAAAGGTGCCAGATGCTGGGGTGCCTGGGTGGCTGCGTTGGTTGAGTGTCCAACTCTTGATTTCAACTCAGGTTATGATCCCAGGGTCGTGGGACTTAGACCGGCATTGGGCTCCTGGCTGACAGCTTGGAAACTGCTTGGGATTCTCCTTTCTCTCTCTCTCTCTCTCTCTCTCTCTCTCAACCTCTCTCTCTCTCTCTCTCTCACCCTCTTCCTCTGGCCCCACTACTCGTGTTCTCTTTCACTCTCAAAATAAATAAATAATCTTAAAAAAATAAAACAAAACAAAAAGAAAGGTGCCAGATGCTATGAGAGTTCAGGAAAAGAGAAATGTTTCCAGGAGGGAATTTCAAGGAAGACTCCATGAAGGATAAAGTGGTTGGCCTGAAGAATAAATAAGATGTGGATAGGTAGATGTGGGGAAAAATATTCTGCAGGCACAGCAAAGGCCTGAGCAAAGATCTGGAGAGGGGGATGTAGGGGATGTGCTTGGGAAACTAAATCATCAAGAAAATAATTGGCAACCGTTGAAGCTATTCAACTGGAAAACCAATTGGAAGCCAACTGCCACAGTGTGAGACTGTGAGCACTTGAAATCAAGGGGTGGGGGAGAAGAAGGTGTGGGTACTGGCCAAGAAAGTACGACCATGGCAGTGAAGAGGAAGGGATGGGAGTGAAGGAATCTGGGTGTCAGAATCCTGATATTTGCCTTTTTTCTTCAAGGTTGGTGGTCACTTTCCAAGGCCTGCTGCCCCTCCATTTTTATATTTGAATAGCACTGGTTTCAATGCCCAGTCATCTGCTCAGAGGGAGTCAGAGTCTGGCCAGACAGCAATACTGTTTGCATCATGATCTTTATTTGGAGTGATATTTGTATTTTGCTTAAGCGTGCCATTTTGCTCTAAAAGTCGATGAGTGAATCAACAACATTTATTCAAAACCCATTGAGGTTTTATGGTTTCTATGTAGTTTCAACAAGAGTTTATTGAGTATCTCTGATGTTTAAGGTGATGTGAAGGGAGGGAGGAAATGATAGCTTGCCTATAGGAGTTTACAAACTCATAGCGGGGGCTGTGGAAAGCTGTTTATGTAGATTAATTATATAAAATGAGATATGTAAAAAGTACCAGGAAATTAGAACAAGTTCAAATGAGGAAGCATCCGGGTCTTGCAATCCCTTCCTTAAGGGAAGTTTTAGGAAGGAAGTGGACTTCCTAAAATAAAATAAAATAAAATAAAATAAAATAAAATAAAATAATCTAACTGTAAATGCTCAAGGATGGGGAACCAGATTGTGATTTGGAACTAAAGATCTACGCGGCAATAGATTTCGTAAGGGTGAGCTGCTTTCCAGTTGTATCTCCCGGGCTTTCACACTCCGTTTAGCCAATTCCCACACCAGCTACATTAACTTCTGCAGTCTGTTCTCCTTTATCTGGGGAAGGACAGTTGTGGGATGTGCCCGATGAATCAGGGAATGAAGTTGGAGTAAACTATGTGGTCTCCCATTGGTAGGATTTTGAGAAGACTGTAGTTTGACAATGAAACTGATATGAACGAAACAAATAGTGCTCTCAGGGCCCTTCATCTGGCCTTTCCATCCTTCAAAATCAGTGTGGTTTGTTCAAAATCCCACCTACTGCTTTTACCAAGACCAAATTTACACACTCTGAGAATGGATTTCTCTTTGTGGTTTGTTAGGCCACTGTGGTTTCCCCTGCTGGATTCCTTTTTGTGGTTGGAGGTCAAACCCTTTCTTGCCTGCTGCTTCCAGGAATGTGCAGTGTGTGTCCCAGAGTGCTACATGGGGAGGGTTTTATTCTATCTCTTGTGAATGGAATGGCAGTCATCCAGCAGGCCTGGGTGCATGTATAAATAGAGGGACACGTAAGCCCGCATTTAATATCCAGAACATGAACCAGCCTCCATGGTGTGTTACCCCATCATGTTTTGATGAAAGGCTGCTGACAGCACCACAGACCATGCCATGGGGCCCAGCAAACCACCTAATCCCACTGCTTTATCCCAGGCATAGGTGGGGGCGGATTTCCCTGCCAGGAACAATGTCTTTCCAGCTACCAGCAGCTCTGAGTTTCTTTGGCTCTTCCTACTTCTGTCACCCATTACTCATGACCCTTGGTCAGAGAGGCCAGGGTAAACATGGGAAGACCAAGATGTACAGCTAAACCCCAAATCTTTTATTTTATTTTTCTTGAGGTAGAAGATTTCAACTCAGTCACCTATGAATCCCTTGGACAATGGAGCTAATGTCAAAAGGGCCCATTGAGGGGCACCTGGGTGGCTCAGTTGGTTAAGCAACTGACTTCTGCTCAGGTCATGATCTCATGGTTTGTGAGTTTGAGCCCCATGTTGGGCTCTGTGCTGACTGCTCAGAGCCTGGAGCCTGCTTTGGATTCTGTTTCTTCCTCTCTCTCTCTGCCCCTCTCTTGCTGTGCACACGCTATCTCGCTCTCAAAATAAACAAACAAACAAACTTAAAACAAAATAAAAGGGCTCATTGAAAGAAAGTTCAGCATTTCAGATCTCCTGCCTGACTTCCTACAATGTGTCACAGCAGACCATCACTTCCTGATCTATGCAGCATGAAATATGAATTCCTGCCATTCAGATTCTTTACAGTCTGGTTCCAATACTGTTCCCATCTTAGAACTAGCCACATCCTTACTTTAGCTTCTGCTTAATTGGATTGCTTTACTTTCTATTTTCCTAGGCCACTTCTGTCACTATGCCACTACTGTACTGATCTCTCCTAAAATAGCTCCCCTTCTCTCTGACTGTTCAAAGGCTTTCTATCCATTAGGATGAATTTAATTCCAGGACCTCCATGGCCACTCTCATCCACAGGTATCTTTCTCTCTATAGCATGCCTTGTTTTGACTATTTACTTAATGCCTGATTGTATGTATATGTCATAACCTATAGGCTTATATGCTGATTAGAATTGGCAGATTTTAGATTGGAATTCTAGTGTCGCCTGGAATGGAAAGCCCAGGAAGTCAAGGGTCATGCATTATCTTCTTTGTGACTCCTATAGTATTAAGTAGTATGTCCTATATGTAAGAGGGGCCAGGAAGTACTTATTGATTGGAGGAATAATAATCCACTATTGAAAAAGCAGAGCCTTGGCAATATTTATTAGTGAATCCAGTGACCTTTCAAGGACATTCTCTGGCTAAGCAGTGCAATATGAGGTAATAATTAAAGTTATTCTCAGGTCCCAAAGGGAGCTCAGAGAATATCACTCCATTGAAGTTCCCTGGAGCCTTCTAGAATGTCAGCTTAACCCAGCTTCCATGTTGGGTTGCTTCCACAGTTTTAGATTTCTTGGGATTCTATGTTATGAACTCAGAAGACCTGATTTTTATGATTGTCATCCCAAAATAGCCTTCATATTCATACTCAGTAAGTACTTGATGATTTGATTAAGCCAGAACAGTGTGTCTAACCTTTTATTAGAGAATTTAGGTTTTGAACAATGCCTTTGAAACTCCATGAGTACCTGAAACATATAATCAGTGGTCACAAAACTTTTTCTTTAAATAGTGGCTTTGGCTTTTGTAAACCTCTAAATATAATTGTTATTTTTTAATTTTTTTCACTTTTATAAAACTTGATAAAAAATAGTATTTCAAACTGTACAGTCACCAGAAGTACACAGTTACCAAAAATGCACACATTTCACTTGGTATCTCCTAAATATAATTTTTAGATAAATATGATTAATAAAATGAAGACTCAAATATCATGATATTTTAGCACAAAAGGAGGAATACAAAAAATCAGGGGGAAAAATCAGTGAATTTTGCATGTAGCTTATAGAGGGGCTTTGAAGTTCTTTCAAAACAGAACTTTAAGAAATGTGTTAAATTATAGAATCATTACTGTAATAACAAAAGCTTCCACTTAGTGAGCATTTGTTGTGAGTCATTAAGTATTGGATACTCAAAATCTCATTTAATCCTAAAAGCAACTCTGTGAAGAGGGATTTTATTAGCTCCATCTTAGGGTCATGGAGGTTAGAGGCATGTACCTAGAGGTTACAATAGTTAGCCTGGATTTAAACACAGATTTGTTAGACTCCAAAGCCCATGTGTCACTATCATGACCACCTTGGTGGACAAACACTTGATTGGACGTGTTCAATTGTGTATGTTTTTAAATTTTTTTTTAAAAAGTTTACTTATTTATTTTGAGAGAGACAGAGACAGCATGAATGGTGGAAAGAGCAGAGAGAGAGGGAGACAGAATTCCAAGCAGGTTCTGCACTGCCAGCACAGAGCCCAATGTGGGGCTTGAACCTCTAAAACCACAAGATCATGACCTGAGCTAACACTAGAGTTGGATGCTTAAGTGACTGAGACACCCACGTACTGTGCCCTGCTCCGCCCTGCCTTTTATGACAAGGTCCTAACAGATGGCTGTAAAGTGTCTGCTCCCGTCCCCCAATTAACAGTTGCTCAAAAATTGTTTGGGGTGCTTGGGTGGCTTAGTCGATTGGGTGTCAGACTTCTGCTCAGGTCATGATCTTGCGGTTCGTGGGTTTGAGCCCCACGTTGGGCTCTGTGCTGACCGCTCAGAGCCTGGCTCCTGCTTCAGATTCTGTGTCTCCCTCTCTCTGCCCCTCCCCTGCTCACATTCTTTCTCTCTCTCTCAAAAAATAAAAGCTTTTAAAAAAGTTTAAAAAGTAATTGTTCTCAGTGCTCTATTGTCACATGTAGAAGGCAGGGTCTTTAAGCTGAAGGAATTGAAAATCCTGAGCAGCTTCTAGATGAGCCACCTTGAAAGTGACAAATGAGAGTTCTTATTAGTTAGGATCTGGAGGAATATGTCACTTGCCTGTCATCATGGTACTGCCTTTCTTCTGTCTTTGGAGTGACTGTATTTGCTCCTAATCCTCTTAGTTATGGATTTAATTTAACGGAACGATGTATTGAGAACCTCTCATGTGGAAGTTGCTAGGACAAACCCTTGGCAGGAGCAATGAGGGTCGGGGGTGGGGGGCATGGGGTGACATGGAGTGGGGGGCGTGGAGGTGGGAATTTGAGGGAGGATGCAAAAATGAATATGTGATCTTGATCTCAACTTATAAATTGTAGAGAAGACTGGACAGTGAGACTATATGTAAGTATGATAATGGTGGGGGTGGAGGGAGGTATAGACACAATCCTTTGGGAACATAGGGGAGAGAGCAGGTTATTTTGTCTGGGAGAGCTGGAGAAGCTGGAGAACCTTTCATGGAGGATGGGATATTTGAGCTCCCTCTTGGAGGATGGGCAGGTCCCTGACCAAGGAAGGACGGAATAGCAGCAGGAAAAACGTGAAGTAAGAGTGGCTTAATAGCTAAGGTGAGAGTGAGGTGTGTGTACAGGTGTTGGGGCAGGCAGGAGCAGGGGTGGGGATTGTGGCAGGAGAGGTAAGGACACTTGAATATCCTCTTACAGAGTTTAGATTTTATATGGGCAATGGGAGTCACTGAAGCCTTTAAAAATTTTTTTAATGTTTTATTTATTTTTTCTTGAGAGAGACAGTAAGGAGGGGAGGGGCAGAGAGAGAGAAGGACAGGACCTGAAGCGGGCTCTGTGCTGACAGGCCGACAGCAGCAAGTCCAATGTGGGGGCTGGAACTCATGAAATGCGAGATCATGACCTGAGCTGAAGTCAGACACTCAACCGACTGAGCCAGCCAGGTGCCCTAGTCACTGAAGACTTTCGAGTCGGGGTGTAGCATCTTTCCAAATTTCCATTTTCCAGAGATGGTTCTTTTTATATATACAGTTATTGGATGGTGTTGGCTCTACTATGTGGTTCGAGTTGTACTTTTTCCTTTTCAGGGGAGCCCTCTCAAGGAAAAGAAACTTACTGTGTTTTTATCCTCTTTTGCCAGGGTTTAGTTTATTTTCTACTTACCATTTCCCCTCTCTTTCTTCCGATGCTTTTGGCAAGGCAAGGGTTAGACCATTAGTTCTTCCTACTGGCATCTGAGTCAGGTATTTGACTCATATTTGCACATGACTATTCTTTTTGGTGAGTGAGATGGGTCATCACTGTCTATGGGTTGAAAGTTCAAGAAAGTTTAGGAATAAAAAACTTGTGGAAAAAGGCACGTAGTCAAAGAGGTGGGACATGCATCAAAGCACAGGACAGCACATTGTGGATTGAGAGAGATCTCAAAATAGAAGGTGCTTCTCTTGGGATTCACACCACAGGCCTTGGCAGGCAGCCCACCCTTATCACCATTAATTTTTAGAGTTTGGAATTGGGCACTACAGTCTGGTGTTAAGCTGTTAACCTCTAGCATCAAGGCCACAGTTGCTGGGAAGAATTCCTCTTTCAAGCTGTGGCCTCATCAGAGTTCTTCATCTGGACACACCACAAAGGGCGAATGTTCCTAAATCCATTCCCATGATTCTGGGATGCTATATATGCTCAGGCACCTTCCACTCTTTTACTCCAGACCTGCACACCCAGAGAAGAGCCTTCTTGCACTGGATCATGGTGCTGAAGTTGCAGTGTGTGTGAGTGTGTACGAGTGTGTGTGTGTGTGTGTGTGTGTGTGCACAGCAGTATGTAGCTCTCTGTATGCATAGGACGAGAACCATTTTCCAGGCCTTTTGTTTTCTGTTTCCAGAGAGAATGAAACCTGAAACAATGTGCATAGTCTGAGGAAATTAGGGACATTTCTAGAACCTGGCTTTTTACACAAGAAATCTGCTCCAGATCTAGAGACACGTTTTGGCTTTCAGATTCGAGAGTCGTTTAGATTTTGACCAGTTTTCCTTGCTTTGTGCTGTGAAGTTACACCCAAGCCATCAGCAGAGGGCTCCCTCAACCTTAGGAGCTGGTATTGATGCTTGGAAGGCTAAGCAACGTAAATGAGAGAAGAAATGCAGATCTGACTGTGAGTTTAAAATCCAATGCCCCAAAGTGCTTTTGTAGAGAAGAAACCCTAACCCATCCTGAAAACAGACCACTTCAGCAAGAAAGTATTTGTTAACGTTTACATGAAATGACACTGTTTAAATTCCTGGATCAAGGTCAGCATAATGTTTATGCTCAGAGTAACACGTAGCTAAGTTATCCTTCAGAGAACCTGAGAAGCAGAGCAACTCCTTGACCAACGGTTTAATTGTTTCTGGACTGGTGGCTCAACGGTTCCTAAATATTGAATCACAGCACCATCAATCACCATGGGTCCCTGGTCTGAACCAAAGCTCTGCAGATGCCAAATCCCTATGTGGCATTTGCCCAGATCCATGTTGGCTAGACATTAAGGGTGCCTGATTGATAAAGCACAATGTGAAGTTATAGTGGTCCCAATCTGTTGGGGCAGCTGGAACTGGCTAACTGCTCTAAATTAAAGTTGGGCAAGTTGCATGGTAAAAATGGGATCAGGAAAAGGAAACAGGACCCTGCTGAAACAACATCCATCTAAAGTTAGTATCTCTTGAGACTGTTCTGATTTTCCACCATGAAGACAGAGCAGCCTAGGATCCAATGCCAGGTATTAGAATCCTTGCTTGGAATTTGCTAGACAACCTCTGTCCTGGTTTTATTAACTGACTCTTTTCCCTCAGCTCTAGGGAAATAATCACATTCCTTTATCATAACTTCATCTGAGATGTGTTACAGTGAATGTTACTACATTCACTGTATTGTGTTGGACACTGAATGTGTTGGACATCAGGTATGCTTGGGAATTACAGTGGAACACCCTAGATTCCTTGACCACATTTGGGAGGTATCTTGGTCTTTTATTTGGGGGCAGTGGGGATATACGTGGTTAGTAGGTGAGGTTTTCTGCCTTTTCAAGTTCCAGGGAAGCGAAGGCAGCATACTGTGAGCAACATCGGCCTCCCACCTGCCTTACATAGAAACGTACTGACCACAGTGAGCGACAAGGGCAAATAGCCACCAGGCAGGCTACAGCACTGAGCACTGAGTGGGCTTGAGGGAGAGTGGGGTTTGTGAGGTCACGGTTTAAACAGTCATGATCTGGAGACTTTTCCAAGAAGAAGCATGTGTCTTCCTTGTGATAGAAAAGCAAATGCATACGAGGAGAAACCGTTGGGAAGCCACTCCAGGCTACTGCAGTGGGAAACTCAAGAGTTTCTGTTTGTACTGGCTTCCTTCATTCAGATGGTTCCCATCAGCTACATTCAGATTGATTCCATTTGCAAAGCTCTCCTGGCAGTCTTGGTGGAGGAGGCTCGGTGGCAGCATCTCTGGCATTTTCTGAGCCTGCCCAGGCCTTGCTCCTCTTGTGTCGTTTCTTGGCTCTTGGGCTCCTAAGCAGAAACTGGCTAAGCAACCGCTGCTGCTGAACAAAATCAAATGTAAAACAGAACATTGGAACACCAAACGAAGAGACTTTTCTAAATGTGGGGGGCGGGAATGCAGTGAAGA